TTAAGCTCCCTTCCAGGGGCGCTCTTGCTCCGGCCTGGCCAGCAGAGTGTGCTCTACTGGCTGGTGGAGCTCTCGAACAGTTCCCAGTTTTAGTGGGTCCTGTGGTCCGGGTGTTGGGGTAGGGAGTCTAGGTCAGGGTCTGGGGATTCCCTCCAGCTCTGGTCTCCCTTGATGGATTCCCTGTCCCCTGATGGGTACTCACCCTGTAGGTCGTCAGTTGTTGTTGCAGTCCGTCAGTTGTTGTTGCAGTCCGAGTTCAGTTGGGGTGTTTGCGGGCTGGGTTGGGCGGCCCCCCGCCGGGTCGTTGCGATCGCGATTGGGCGGGTGGTCTGCGGACAGGTCCCTTTGTGGCGCTGCTGGTGCCGGGCGGCTTTGGCGGGATGGAGCCTCTCCGCTCCGGTGGAGAGTGATGGGTGGGGTGGGATCCTCGTGGAGACTCCCGGCTGGTAGGTTTCTCTGTTCCTGGCGATCCGCTGTTCTGCAATCCGGTACCTGGTGATCTGCAAGCAGCCCCCTGTGTCTCTGTGGCTCCGGCAGCCCCCGCCGGGCCGGCTGGCCGGCGGCTTGGCGCACTGCCGCGCGGCCAGGAAAGGTTGGGGGAGGGGTCTTCGCTCTTCTCTGTTCTGAAATTCTTCTTTTTCCTCTCTTTCTTTTTTTTGTTATTTTCCACCTCTGGTTTTTCTCTGAGTGTTCGTCTTTTTGTTGTTGTCGGTCTCTTGGGGAGATTAAAGGTTGGAACTCGAACTCTCTTTTTGGTTGGAGAGAGCTGTGGCGTTTCCCTACTGCCCCGTCGCCATCTTGGTCCCCCCTCCTGTGCTCTCAGTCTTAACTGGTGTCCCCGGCCCAGTTCCCTTCATCTCACGTCACCCAGAGGTCTCAGCTTCGTGGCTACCTCTCTGAATGTCTTCAGCATTACCGTCTACAGTGCAGGCCTTCCCTGTTCCTCTCTTCTTCCTTCACCAGACTCACCAGGGCTTCCAAAGGCCTTGTTTGTCCACGATGGTGAGAGTGAGTTCAGCAGTCAACCTTGATATATGAAAGCAATTGTTCAGAACCTTCCTTGGGTATCAAGATCCACAGATGGCACCAGAGGCCTAGTTACCAAAGGCTGAGATCTGAAGATCACAGTTCAAAGCCAGCCAGGACAGAAATGTCTGAAAGAGACTACCTCCTATCTACTAGCAAAATCTTGGACCAAAGGCATGGCTCAAGGGGTAGAGTACCAACTTGTGAACAAGAAAGCTGAGCAAGCAACAAGGCTCTGAGTTCTAATTCTGGCAAGGCACAAGAAATCCCCCACAAAAATATAGATACCCAAGTGCGTTATAGAAAATGACATACTATTTATCTATAGCAAAGTTATCTCTAGGTTACTTATAACATTTAATAGAAATAATATATACACACAATTTAATTATTTATATTAACACCAACAATGAATGACAAATAATCATAATTTATGATGAATAGTGATAATATAAATAACACTATTTAAGGAATATTGCAACTATTCTACAACATAATTATCATTATACTTAACTATCATGGTTTAGGGAATAATGGCAAGACAAATGTTCAGTAAAGCCACAATGTGTTTTCCCAATATTTTCTACCCCAGGTTGCTTGACTGCACAGATCTGAAGTAGATGTACAGAATGAGAAACAGGGACTTGGGTCTTAATCCTGTCTGCAGCCAGCTAGGTGGTCTGTGAGCAAAGTCCTTACCCTGTCATAACTCATTTCGTATTTAAACCTGGTGCCATTGTGGGAGGAGGAGGGGCTGCCACCCTCTTAGATCCATGGAGGGCTCATGTGAGGCCTTCTCTAACAGCTGTCCTTGTTCATTTACTCACGGCCTCCCTTGAAAGTCTTATGTCAGCCATGCGCTGGTAGGTCAAGCCTGTAATCCTAGCTACGCTGGGGACTGTGATCTGAGGTTCAAAGCCAGCCTGGGCAGAAAAGTCTATGAAACTCTCTCTGTGTGTCTCTCTGCCTCTCTCTCTCTCTCTCTCTCTCTCTGTCTCTCTCTTTCTCTCTCTCTCTCACACACACACATATACACAAAGTCTCATTCTATTGCTCTTTGATCTTTTCGCTGGAGTTTTATTATAAAGATTGTACTGTAATTTGGGACCCAATATTTAACTATTTTTCATTTTCAGAGATATTGATTTTGGACGTTGATTTTTTTTAGCAGCATTTGTTTATAATGAGATAAAAGGAAATAATTTGTGTGTATGCTAGTGCCAGGTCTTGAGCTCAAGATTTGGGCCCTGTCCCTTAATTGTATGGTTCCAGGCTGTTACTCTGCCACTTGAGCCACACGTCCACTTCCAGCTTTTGTGTGGTTAATTGAAGATTAATTGGTGATTAATTGGAGATCGATTGGTAGTTAATTAAAGATTCATGGACTTTCCTGCCTGGGTTAGCTTTGATCTGCGGTTCTCAGATCTCAGTTTCTTGAGTAGCTAGAATTACAGGCTTAAGCTACCAGAGCCTGGCTTTAAAAGGAAGTAAGTTTTGACAGAAAGGTAAAAGAAATCCCAGGGATAGAGACTTTGACCAGAATGTTGGAGACACAGTAGTATTGCTAGTTTATCTATTTGACTTGAGGACTTTTCTGTACTTCTTATATTCCAGACTATGCTCAGGGTACAGGGCTGGACCTTGTAGTTGTCTGGATGGGTGAAAGTTCAATATTATTTACCATGGAATTTATTTAAGAATGCAACTCATCATGTTACTTTCGACTCTGATGTGCATAAAAAAGGTGGTTTGAATACAATAACTCTTTTTTTGCACAAACGTTTTCATATCATCTAGAAATATTCTACTCTTGTAAGGGAGAATTTTTAAAATGCATCTTAGCCATATATCGCATTTGATATTAACTGATTTTTTTCATTTTTTTCTTCTATTATATCAAAGTAATGGTATTCATTTGAGCTTTCGTCCATCATTCTAGTTTTCTCTTGGTTCAGCCAGTAGGTGGGGTACTGGCTCCTTTTTAAGTCAGACACTTGCCTAGGGACCATTTCCTTCTTTCACTACTGCTATTATCTACGCCCCCTGCCACGTGTTCAAAAGAGACCCCAGGAGAACCTGCTGATCCTGATCTGGAGGTAGCTAAGGGAGTTGAGCATGGTGGGTGTTGGATTTAAAGTTGTCTCTGAGATTTTCAAGCTAACACACCAAGGCTTAGGTTTTGAGTAGCTTGATTTTTACCACAAGGGTGTGCAGGTCTATTTGACAACCAGAAATCAAAGTTCTCCCAGTCTATTTAGCCTCATAGTCTTGTGGTTTACAACAAACAATAGAGTTCAGAAACCTTGGCCACTATGTTAACCTAGATCTGTTTTAAATAAAATGGGACTTCGTTTAGATAGAATGGAAATAATAGTTTAATGGAATTAAAGCTATTCTTGGAGTTAAAAACTAGAGGAAGATTGCACTGGGAATATATTGAGGTAAAAGTGGAACATCAGTTCTTCTTTTTCTTCCTCTTCCTCTTCTTCTTCTTCTTCTTCTTCTTCTTCTTCTTCTTCTTCTTCTTCTTCTTCTTCTTCTTCTTCTTCTTCTTCTTCTTCTTCTTCTTCTTCTTCTTCTTCTTCTTCTTCTTCTTCTTCTTCTTCTCTTTCTTCCTCCTCCTCCTCCTCCTCCACCTCCTCTTTCTCGTTCTTCTCCTTCTTTTTGTTCTCCTTCTTCTTCCTCTTCTCCTTCTCCTTCCCCTTCTTCTTCTTTTCTTGTTCTTTTTTCCAGTTCTGGGACTCGAACTCTGGGCCTGGGCTTTGTCCCTGAGCTTTTTGCTCAAGGCTAGCAGCACTTGAACTACAGTGCCAATTCCAGCATTTTCTGAGTAGTTCATTGCAGATGAGTGTCTCATGGACTTTCCTGCCTGGTCTGACTTCAAACCACAATCCTCAGATCTCAGCCTCCTGAGTAGTTACACTGGTGCTCTGCTTAGAACATGAGTTCTCCAGCAATGTGTTGGAGCCTTATGATTGTGTTTTAGGACTTAATCTACCTTAATTACATTTTTCTAAACTGAAATATAAATTAAAATTCCTTATTTTGAAACCTTGGTGTATAATATTTAACCTCCATTTTAAGTGGCAATAGACAATTCATTTTAAAACATCTTTGTGTCTTACAAATCTAGTTGGTGAAGCTGAATTATAAGAGCGACTTTTAAGATTCACAAGCAACCAAGTCAGGCTCAGAAGTTAGAAGGTTCTTTGACCAGTTTTCATGAACAAATATTATTTTTTCCCCTGTGTGTGCCAGTACTACGACTTGAACTCAGGACTTAGGCAATGTCCCTTAGCTTTTTTACTCAAGCCTGGCATTCTACCACTTGAATCACAAATCCAAATCTACCTTTCTGTTGGTTTGTTAGAGATAAATCTCAGGACTTGGCTGCCAGGATTGACTTCAAAGTGAGATCCACAAATCCTCAAATCTCCTGAGTGCCAAGTTGAACATATATTAATTTTGAACTTTAATAATTAGGGAGGTTAAGGTTTATTTGGTATTATGCAAAAATCTGAAACCAGTGACAGCATGTAAGTTCGCTTCCCAGACACAATAATGTCCTATGTCCATCTTAGGCAATGCAAAATTATAGCACTGTAGATTTCATGACCCCCATGCAACTTGGGCCAACAATGAAGAAGTGATTTCACGGCCCTCAGAGAAGGCAGACTGTATTCCCCTTGTTCAAGATGAATTGGCCACTTTAATACAGTGTTTGAGGGGAGAAAAGGGAGTGAGAGTCTCTTTGTTTAGGTTATGTTTTGGTGTTCTGGTAGCGAGTACAGAAAGCAAGCTTGAAGACTTAGCTCATTCTGTGTATGCATTTTCTTTTGCAATGCCTCCCAGCGTCCATTTAACCTTCGGGGCGTGATTTCAAGTTCATTCCTAAAGCTGATTGGCTACAGTGCCTGGTGGGTGTGTCCAACTTAAGTTGCCTTTAGGGAGGTGGCCAAAGCTGAGCTTGGGAACAGGACTGTGGGTTCCCTGTTTATGTGAATTCACAGAGTAATCAATTTTGTTCCCCCTCTCTTCCTCGGCTGTCAGCTGACCTGAGGATTAGTTTCATAGGAAGGATTCTTTCTTTAGAATAATATGGAGCGACTTCTTTTCCAGGGGCACCAGGTTAGTAGTAACCTTTTGAACTTTCTGTTGCTTCAGTCAGATTTTTCTTCTGTACTGAGGTGAGGGTGTGTAATGTGAGTTGTTGATCCTGTGGGGGATGGGGTGTGTTTCTCCTTGTGACATTGTTTGACAATATTTCCTGCAAGAGGAGGCCAAGAGGTACTGTCATACAAGGGTTGGATGTTTATCTAGAGCGTTTGTATTTGCTGGTAAACATTTTCAGTTCCTTTTTGGGAATCCCTCCGCTATGCTTGCTCCCATTAGGTTTTCTAGGGGTGACTATGATTTTCTACACGGATGGTTTGATTTGATCCCACACCACAGCCTGTCTGATGCACAGTTTTCCCTTGGGCCTACCCCTGAGAATTCTGTCAGGATATCACTTAAATGTTTGCTTTTGAAAAGTCTGGCACTTTTCCAGAATGTCTCCTAAAATATCTGCAGTGTAAGCAATTGGGAGGGGAGGGCAGGTGGGTTCAGAATGGAATTCCTTTCTCAGCCTGTCAGTTTCTATCCAGGAGGGGTTCCTTACAATACAAGGTTGCCCTAGGAGGAAATAACAGCCATCAAAGTGCAGCATGACTTGTAAAAAGTGAAAACATCATTAATAGTAATAAAGAAATGAAGCCAATAAAATTATGTTCAGGGAAGCTCCCTTCCATGATTTCTTTAAGTAAAGATCTAGAGAACAATTTTGTCATTGTTAATTTGCCACTAGTGAAATCTGCCATGAGATTGTTCTGTAAGAATGGTCAATTTGACCGTGTACCAACACTTGTAATGCTTTATAAAATACAGCTTTCCTTCAGGGAGGGTACCAGTATTTTAATAAATGGCAATGTGCTTTTGTAATCACCACTGAGAAAAACAGTACATATGAAAAGGACGGTCCCTTCATCTTCGCCTTGGGTTTAAAAAAAAAAATGGAGTGACGGAAGACTGAAATAAACATGAAATCAAGAAAGAACAAAACAAACAGAAACCACACCAAGGTGCTAAAAGCTTAAGGATCCCATTTCCATTCTATACTGAAGGTGAAGTTGTAAAGTTCTGGCTACCATCCCCATCAGGACCAAAAAGTTGTACTTTAGACTTTAAAATACAATTGCTCAGATGTATCATTGTCCCCTACCTCTGCATATATTTTCTGTAACTGCTACATGATTTTAGTTTTCTCAAAAGAGTTTACAATGGTTGCTCTGACTTTGCTGGGCTTTAAATATATAATGCATATGTAGTTACCACATGTATCTCTGCTATTATGTGATTAGTGATTACAAAGTGCTACTACTTTAAATCTTTATTAAGGAGAACCTTTGTTATCCTGGTTATAGCTGCCTGATGATTTTTGGTGTGTATTTACTGGCTTGGGGGCTTGAACTCAAGTCAGGGCAATGTCTTGGATGTTTATGCTCAAGGCTGCTACTCTATCATTTAAGCCACACTTCCACTTCTGGCTTTTTGCTGATCAGTTGAGCAAAGAGTGTCTAATAGATTTCCTGCCTTGGCTGGCTTTGAACTTTGAAATCCTTGGATTTCATCCTCCTGAATAGCTAGGATTACAGATGTGAGGCACTGGCAATTTGCTGATCTGATGATTTTTTTTCTACCATTTGAGCCACAGTGCCACTTCCGGCTTTTTCTGCTTATGTGGTGCTGAGGAATTGAACCCAGGGCCTCATGTATGCAAAGCAAGCACTACCCCTGAGACATCTTCCCAACCCCGATCTGATGATTTTAAAGAAAAATTGCTTGTTCGTCCTATAGAAAAAAATATTAAAAGGTTCAAATAAACTCGCTTGTGTACAGAGATCTGTTTCCCTGTTTCCAAGTGCTTCAGAAAACTGTTTCATCTAGAATTAGTAACGAAGCAAACAACAATGTGACGAAGAATAGAATAAAGAGGAAAGTACCTAAAATTTGGAATGTAGGGGTTTTTCCACAGAATATGCACATGAAAATCAGTTTTTTTCTCAACATGAGGAGGGGGAAAAAGACTAAGTGAAGGGTCTTAGAGGTCTGTAAATCTGTGCTAACATGTCTGAAGGAATCTAGATTGTTCTCAATGTTCAGTTTGGAGCATGCACTGTACTTACTTGCCTGGTTGTCACCTTTACATGTCTGCTTCTGGCTCAATTCAAGCAAAGATCAGCCTTTTGCTCTGTCTATACCATCGAAGTTCAAGTTGAGCTTGGCTTTGATTAATTTTTATCCAGCATGCCTTCTGTCGACATTCAAGATACTCCAGCTATCTCGTGCATCTTGGATGATTTATGAACCTAGCTGATGTCCCAGAGACCTGGGTGACAATTTTCTTTCCAAATGGTTATGACTTTCAAAGGTGGAGACAAAGCCTTAGTCCAATTGTCATTCCTGAAACACTGGGAAAAAATTGGATGGTGGTAGAAGATAGGCCACCAATAAAGAAGTGGGAGGAGCTATGATATTAGAAGTGGATTTTCTGACTGCTAAACCTTGAGAGAGTTTCCTCTGATCACCTGGTTCCATTCACACCTCCACTCAATCCCATTTGTATAATCCTGAATGTAGTAGTATACCCTTTAGAAGGCGAAGGCCCTTGAACTTCTGTTTGTGTACTTACAGATTTATTCAGTGACTCTCAGGATCAGTTCTACCTTTTCCACTTCTCCCTGTTGTTCTTGTCTTTTACCCTTTCACTTGACCTACACGTCTGCAGGGTGCAGAGATCTTATGCTTGCCTATCAGAAAGTAGGGTGGGAGAGGGGAGTGCAATGCCATCCATCCCTAAAATCCACTGTTCTCATAGTGATGATGACTAACTTTCCATTTTCCAGAAGGATTACAAATGCTGAGGAATGAATCATTTTCTTGGAGTTCAATGGACCACTCTGCCCTTCCCAGTTCCTTGTGTCATTCTGAGGAACCCAATTTAATTTTGACCTAGCTTGTCTGGAGGAGATGGTGGTAAAGCAGTAGAGTAGCTGTGATAGCAAAAATAGTGATCACTCTAAAGGAATTTCCTAGAGCAGCCACTATTCTAAGCATCTTACTGAATCCTCAGAATAACCCCAAGAGTTTGTCTATACTATCTCCATTTGCAAGTTGAAGAATTGTCTCAGAATAGGCAAGACACTTGATCCAGCTAGGAAGCCACAGCAATAGCATCAAGGAAGGCTGTGGTCAGAGAAAACCCATAGGTGTGCCTTTTTAGAATGTATAATCCAGCCAGGAGCCTGGTGGCTCACTCCTGTAGTCCTAGCTACTCAGGAGACTGAGATCTGAGGATCACCATTTGAAGGCAGCCTGAGCAGAAAAATCTGTGGGACTCTTTATCTCTAGTTAACCAGCAAAAAGCTAGAAGTGGAGGTGTGGATCAAATGGTAGAGTACTAGTTTTCAGCAAAAAAAGTGAAGCAAGAACATGAGGCCTCAATTCAAACCCCACTACCAACACACACAAATAGAATGTATAATCCAATATTTATCATGAATAAGAAGCAGCCATGTGAACACTGATGTCTGTGCCAGCTTTCCTTCCAAAGGCTCTTCCATGAATGCCCTGTCAACCTAGGCTTGTCCTGCATGTCCTCAAGTCCTTTCTCTATGGGAGGGAATGTGTGAGTTTGGGTTCTGCCTCCTTCTTGTTCTGCTGGTGACCAATGGCCAGAACCTGGTGACCAATCACAGAATATAGAGGTTGTCTGTGGCAGGTGGATGAGACCAGCACTGTCCCTTCCAGGCAGAGAGTAAGTGACCACTTATTGTGCTCTGCCACCTAAAGCTGGTCTTGAGAACTTTTTAAGGTCAGCATAATAGAACCACCAAAAGTAGGAACGTGGATTTTCTGATTGTTTAGTTTTCCTGTCCTCTTCCTTGCTGCCTAGAATGACTTCCTGCTGATAATCCAAACTCTGGAATTTTTTCTCAGTATTTTTGGGTCTGGTAATTGTGTCAGGACTTTCTTAAGCTCTGTGGAGAGTTAAGATTATGAGACAAAAAAATGTATCCTATAAAAACAGAAATACACATTTGAAAAATATTGAGCGAGGACTGGGAAGGGGGCTCAGTGGTAGAGCACTTGCCTCGCATGCATGAGGCCCTGGGTTCAATTCCTCAGCACCACATAAGCAAAAAAGAAAAAAACCGGAAGTGGCGCTGTGGCTCAAGTGGTAGAGCGCTAGCCTTGAGCTGAAGAGCTGAGGGATAGCTTCCAGGCCCAGAGTTCAGGCCCCACGACTGGACCAAAAAAAAAAAAAGAAAAAGAAAAATATCGAGCAAATAACTTATACTACATATGGCTAGGGCATAAATATGTGACAAATAGGTGTAGAAAATTTAAAAATATGTGACAATTTAGTGCAGGCAGATTAAGAGAGCTAAGTTAAAAATAATATAATGAAGGAAAGAAAATAAACATAAGGAAAGAAAATAAATAGTAAAAATTCTGATCTTTGGACAGGAAAGCATTTTCATTTCCCAAAATTAATAGAGAAAATAACAGAAGAAAAGAGTTCTGAGATCTGAGGTTTCTCAGTTTGAAAAGGTACAGAAATGTGCATTGAAGCATAATATTATTGTGAAATATGGCAGTTAAAGCATTCCGTATCAAAAGAAAATCACATGATAAATCATTATAATATTTCTGAAAATGTGTAGTAGAAGAAAATGGTGATGGTAGGTCTTAAAGTTAAGATTCTGGAGATAACTATTTTTTAAAATCACCTTACTGAGTGTTTATACTTGTCTGTGTGGTGCTTAAAAAACCCAGAGAAAGAATTATACTCTTAAAGTAATTAGGGTTAGTGGACTATTTTCCAAAGAGGAGGGGGAACTTCTGGTTTATTTTTTCTTTATATGCTTCTCTGAATATTAGCACTTTTAAAACATGGTTTCTTTATGTTCACAAAAAATAAAAAAGGAAGATAAAAGTTTCATGAAGAAAAGAAAGTGAACAAAATATGCTCCAAATTTAAGACTAACAATATTCATAATCATTAAGGAGCAACTCTAAAAATTGCC